GTATCAATAAAGCACGTGTGAACAAATATCTTAACTTCCAGTTCCCAATGATACCAGTACTACATGTGTTAAGCAATAATGGGTTTTACATTAAACTTAATCGCAGATGCATCAGATGGAATTAAAAATGTTTCTTCCGATGAAACTCCATTCTAAGATTCTATTCCTTCACGAATATAATCACAACACGAGAGATGTAGGATAAATAAAATTATTTCTGTACATCTCTAGAGGTATTTTCTACTGATCAAAACAGAATGAGTTTGTGAAAATCCATTCCACATCGTTTCTTTATCCATAAAGAACGTACGAAGAAGTAATAACTGGATTGTTGTAAGATATAGCGGGAGCTTACTTCTTCTTAAGTGCCCACTATCGCAGAGAAAGAATTATTATTTGTCTTGCGTGATCGCTTGCAATGATATCTCATTTTGAAGCGTGCTGTAAATTGTAACAACCAGATAAAAGTGTGACGCAAAACCGCACCCGATTTCGAACTTTTTTTTTTTTTTTTTCCAATAGAATTCATGTGCCGGAACGGATCCATTTTTTGTGTTGCGGTCGATGACTGTCGGAAGGGTAATGCCTGGATCGATTCGAAACGAAGGAAGTGCGTGTTATTTTCTTTTAGGAAATTCCGCTGAAGTAGTAAAAGAGTGTGACATACCTTGGAAATTGAGAAGGATATAGTTAGGAACTTCCTAAGCTCACTTGCATGTTTTGGAACGCGATACCTAAAAGTGAGGTTTTTGCTCCTATGAAATCAGTGTATGGATTGCTTCGCCTTAAAGAATTTATTCAGAATAAAGACGGAGGAGATATGTTACAAAGACTTTTATTCGTCGTTATGTAGAATTCCCTTGACGAGCCAGAAACTGACACAACGAATATTTTTAAAGAACTTTGATAAAGTTTGTTGCTAAGCTTTAAAAATTTAAATCACATCTTCAGATACAGCAAATCAAAAGCTTCTGCTTTGATTTGCTGAACCTATATATATGTGATATTTCCGCAGTCGAGTACATAAGTGAGGAAAATTGCCATAAGAGTCCGGGCATGAGTGGAATACAGCAGAAATGCTGACACAGAACGATTTCACTTTTTATTATTCTATATCTTTATTTGAATTTTCACAGTAGATCATTTTTAGTTTAGATGAAATTCTCCAAATTACATATTCAATAGTGATTTAAACTAAGTACGATTAAGTTTAGACTTTCTGCGTCATAACTATTCCAACAAAGGAAAGATGGGTTAAGCAGCAGCGAAGTGTTGTAGCGCCGGAGGAGAGAAGCAATCTTATTCAAAATGGAGCAACTTCGTTATTTATAGAAGCGGTTACGTAAGAGGCTGGAATGTTCTCGAAAGCACTGGTCTAGGGGGGGAGATCCTGAATTGCAGAAAGTTCATTAAAGGTTGCTTGTTCGCATAGAGCAAAGCCGCCCTATTTTTTATATTTTACATCTTTAAAGAAGAAAGTATATGTGTTTGTTTGTTCACTAGATCAACGTCGACTAAAAAAAAAGCTAAAATTAGAGATATTAATTAAGCCCAAGCACACGCCCACAGACCAAGCGCACGAAATTGCTTGTAACAAGGAGTAGTGCAAGATCCCACCTGTGTGATTTAGCTCAGTTCCACCCCCAATTTTGAACAAGTACAAGTGACGGGTGACGTGGGCACTGTGCCTCTACCATACTGGTTAATCAGTACAGCACCAAGTCCACCATTAACTAGAACAGCCCCAGATGTCAAGAAGGGCGCAAACTGGCACCTCGCCGATTTAGTACGCATTGATTATATTTATAAATACAGGGTCTTATACGTCGTTCAGGATACATATTACAAGATTTCCTAAGGTGACCTTGATAACAATTATAATTACCCGCACAAATTATAGTTACACATATTGTTACATTAAATAATACTTTGGCAATATATGACTTGCTTAAAATATACCTTGAAGTACGTTTAAAATATGCATAGAAATATGAACATTGATACGCATGATCTGAAACTGATTATATACATTACATATATATGAAGTAGCTACTTTAATATAATACAGGGTAAATACATAACATTATCCTGTTCAGGATACATTAGCACATAGTACAGAATACAGGACTCGTCGCAAAATGTTATGATCATAGTGATTTGTCTTGGATATATAAAATCACCTATAACTTGGATTACACTAACATTACACATGCATAGATAAGTAAAGAAATACTGATACAAAGATAAATAACTATGCATACATCAAATGCATTGAACAATAGCACCCCGGAGGGGATGACGCGTCAGACAGTCCTTCCACCCCTCTCCCCTTCCACAAACCACACGAGAGGACTTTCGGCTCGCCGTGCATTCAGAGTGCCGCCAGGCCGCACCGACACCATAAATTTACAAACATCCATGCATTCTCCGGGATTCGAACCCGGGTCCTTCGTCACAGCAGTCAGCGACGCTAACCACTATACTGGTTGGGCGGCAGTCAGATACCTAAACAGAGGGACCGCCGTTTTTCTCGGGAAATTGGGAATGAAAGTTGCCTCTTCCCCCAGAATCCTTCTTCTGTTATCCATAGCCCGTTGAATCATTTCCTATTTAAGAATTTTTCTACGAGTCAACATATGAAGAAATATGAAACGCTACAAGGAGGAATGCAGGTAGAATATTTAATAGAATGGCCAAAACCTGTTCGTTTTGAATTCCCTTTTTATGGATTAACGCACTAAAAAGAAGCGTAATCTTATTGTTTATTGTAGGAATTAAGTTTAATTAAGCCCAATGTATTGTAAAGAATTTTAAATTATTTTAAAGACGTTTGCTTAACATATATATGAAAGGTTCACGTATAAATGCCGTTAAAGTTCTTGTTTTAATCATAACTAGCAGTTAAAGTTTAGGTAATGTGTCCTACTGATTATCTCATTTCTCATTTCTTCATGCCTGTCCAAAAAGAAGAAGAGAATACCTTATATACTCCCCCTTTTGAAAATCGACTGGGGCTTACGGAACCCAATCGCCAAATCCCTGTGTTCAGGAATCGTCATCCACCACCTTTTAGTTCAGGCGTCAATGTAGAGTCATTAGGATTTGCGAAGTAGGAACAATTAAAAATGAACAATGCCCCACCGGGACTTGAACCGGAACCTCTCGAGTACGCGCCGAGTGTGCTACCGTTACACCACGAAGGCATGCAGAAGGGAGGGAGAAAATATCTAATAGTGTGACTGATGTTTAGTGCTGTTAAGTGTGAAATTATTATATGCCGCTATTCTTGTGTTTTGTATCTACCATTCTTACGATAAATGCTTAGCAAGTGAGTTGTTGTTCCTTTATTCGTATTAATTGTTTAGTTTATTTCTTCGCTTTTAATACGTTTGCTAATCATGATAAATTAAAGATTTGATAAAGTCATAGATAGGTTTTTGGTCACTGGAATATAGCGAATTCTGCAGCAGTTTTTAATTTGAAATTTAAAATAATTATGTAATAATTACTAGTGCAGTTAGATTTTATACATATAAATATGTTTGGTGAATTGTAAAGTTCTGGTGTAAAGTCTGTTGAGAATCAAAATTAATCGGACGGTCTGAACAAGGAAGAAATAAGTAGAATCGAAGTTAATGTTTCGAATCTATACGGCGAATATAAAAATGATAGATTAGAAAATAAGAAAACTGCGAGTATAAAAAGCTTTGATTTCTACATTCACCTAAATGCTATTACCGTTCTGGCGATTTGCTACGACCAAGTTCGCAACACTTTCTTCTAGAACAGGCCATTTCGTTACTCCTTTCGGAAAAAGCACGTTCATTTTTTTGCATATTAATTACTGTGATTTCATTTTTCTTCCACTTATGTATGGAGCTTTTATCAGTACCAAACATCCTCGCTGCAGCACGGTTTCCATTTTCGTTCGCAAACTGAAAGACTTTGCATTTGAAACCAGCACTGTTTTATTTTTTTCTTTTCGCAGGAGTCATATTTACCACTAAAAAGGAAAACTAGATCAACAGCATTTCGGCTAAAGCATGCGCAGTTTACTGTATCCAATTGAAGAGGTATAGCAAACTGCATACACTTTAGCCTTTTATTCAAGACGAATTAGTAAACTGCATACGCTTTAGCTTCCATGTTCACTTCAAAATCACAGTTTCACATGACTACAGAAAGAGAAAACTTCCTACTCTTAATGCCACGAATTAATTCGGGTAGGAAGTACATTCGCATCCCAAATTATTTCTCCCTTTTCTCGAAACTCTAGAATAACATTCTTGTGCAAAACTGCATTGAATACAATCCAGCCTCTTTGCAGAATTACTTGCTTCGCTGAGCATTTCCCACCCCCCCAACACATCTTGTTCCCCTTACCACTTGTCAATTCAATATACCACCGCGCGAATGCATGCGAAAAACCTTTGATAGAAGAACTGCAAAAGATAACAGCATCGCACATGTACCTTTCAGGTTTCTTCGTAACCAAAAATGTGAGCGTTATGAGGCGAATATACTTCAAGGTTAAGCAATACAGTTCGAAATTACAGGTACGCGTTATATATCTTTGCGTGTTATACGCCGGAATATACGGTATGTAACAGTTTTAAACGAATGGTAATTTCGTAAGTTAAGGTGAACTACAGGAAATCAAAAGATGGGTATATGCTTACAAGTTTAGCAATAGCATGAATTAGCAAATTTATAACTCATTGAAATCTATTCCTCTATCGTATATAAACATAAGAATTTCTACAGCATTTATCGCAAATACATCGCAATTATTTATTACAATTTCATTTTTCATTAAGCAGCAACTAAATATCAAAAATCATACCCTAAAATAAAATAGACGCAATTCTTCAGTTTTGAATGAATATGTGATAAAGTCTTGGTTGAGTATTTGGATTTAGTTTTTATTGGCGTTGAATTTCATCAGTTTTGAAATTTCTGTCTTGAAAAATCTTAAACAGAGAACAAATTAAAAAAATTACCTGTCTGTCTTTCAGCCGAGAAGAGTGTGGATGCGGTCAGTGCCACAGAAGTGCTTCGCCCTCTTGAATTCGAAGCGTATATAACAACTATGAAAGAAGATCCTGTAGGCAGACCTCTCACTAAGAAGTTTGGATTCTCATTGGAAGTAATGTTAGCCAGCAGTTGCTCTCGCTTCATACTGTAGAGTTCCAAATGGAAAGACTGCTTCTCTCCTCCATCATCTCCTGGGTCACAAGACAGTGTCAGAGCGCTGAACGATTGGTTGGTAATGGTACAATTCTGTAAAGGTTCTGGAGGACCTGAGAAAAGAAAGGTAAGTCTTATTATTCTCATTATTTCACGATTTACTAAGATCTGAAAATTGTAGATAATTTAAAACATTTTTACTAGAGGCAGAAGAACATTGCAAGGAAATCAATAATTCATTAATTAAAAAATAACGCTACTGTAAACAGATAAACACGTTCTTAGATAATATTTTTGTTATTTTATTGTAGAGACGTTAACGTTATTTTGAAGCAGAAATCATGAAAAATGAGCAATACCCTGTAAGGATCTTAAGCTTTATTAACCTTTATTTTATTTTAAAACTGTACTGCTCCGTAAAGTTGTGGCTTTTCGCCAAGAAGAAGTGCGGGAGCGCCTGTGATATCGTGGAAAATAAAGGGTAATTAAACCTTTCTCATCTTGTCGTCTCTTCTACACTCCATAGGATATAGTTTGTAGTCAAACTTACTGTCTAATCAGAACACGTCATGTTCGCCAAGCAGATAAAGAGAAATACAAGTCCTGATAAACCTCACCGGGACTCGGACACGTGCCGAGTGTGTTAACAGTTACAACACGAAGGCATGCTGGGAGAAGGGGGAAAATACCTTAAACTATAAAATATAGGGTGCGGCAGCGTTCATAGCGTAATTTGACTTGCGTAGCACATTGACGTACGGCCCACCAGCGGCCGAGCGGTAACGTCGCTGAACACTGGTAGTTCGGTCCGAAGTTCGAATCCAGCGAACGGGCTGGCTGCATGGGTGTTTTCCTGGTTTTTCACATGTGTAACGTGTATACGAGCCAGTTCCCTTAAAACGTCCTCCATGAAGGCATCCCTCCTTTAAAGCAGACAGCCCTCGAGTGCTTTGCCGTAATCTAATAAACCAAACCAAACCAAACCACATTGACGTACTGCATGAATGCGCGCCAGCTCGTGCCGCATTCGTGTACTAATGAGCTGCCATTTTGAATGTGACAGTAATATGGATCGTTGGAGTGCACAGCATCGTGCCTTTGCTGTTGAAAGTTATTTAAAGAATAACTACTCTGTTTTTGGTACCCAGCATCTATTTCGGCAACATTTCACCTTGGGACATTAGGGGAAATTTCCAGATGGACGGACCATTGCGACAGAGTAGTTTCCCGTTTTGGTGACATTTCCTAGCCGCCTCGCTCACCTGATCTTTCATATGCCGACTTTGGGGGCACCTGAAGCAAGAAGTTTTCCGAACACGTTGTGCCACCATTCCTGAGTTGAAGGATCGCATCCGAACTGCCGTCGGCAATGTCCCAGGGAATGCGTTACGCCGAGTGATGGCAAGCTTCCAACGCTGCCTAGATGAATGTCTTGTGGGGCGGGGGGCATCATATTCAAAAAGTAATTCACGCAATGGACAATGACTTACACATTAGTAAATGGCATACCTTTAACTATTGATTGACATAAGAGGTAATAAATAAATTACAGTTACTGCCTTGTGGTGTGCTTTTAATATCCTACTATGAACGCTGCCGCACCCTATAGATTCATTTAATTATCTTCAGGATTCTTTGTCATCACTGCAAAGGAAAAAAGTGTAAAAGGAATTTTCCCTTTTCTTACAGCTTGGTTTCGCGGAGCAATTGGAAGCACGCCCGTTTAGTAATCGGAAGATCTGGAGTTTGAATCCGGGTGAGGGCATTGCTGATTTTTAATGCTTCGAAATAAATCTAATGAAACTACAAGTGGCGCACCGAACTAAAACGTTGCAGGTGATGATTCGTCACGGCCTGGATATGGCAACTCGATCTTCTCTGCCACATTTAAGTGGGGCAGAATGTAAGGAACTTTTGCTTCTTCACTGCGTGCCTTTGTGATGTAATCAAAAGCGGAATCAGTAGTCCGAAGTTCGAACCCTATGGAAGGCTTTGCTGGAATTTTCAAGATAATTTTTGAATCATTCTGAAATTTTTTCCAACAAAAATTATAAGTGCTTTAAGTAATCAGTAAATCCGCTTGTAATTTTTGGCGGATCTGTGTCTTGTTTCAGCATTTCTTCTTTCACAATTTTTAAGTCATATATGTACTTAAAGCTTAAATAAGTCATTTAAAAATAATTAATTATGTTTTTGGAAAATATTATTTCCTTTTCCTGTAATGAAAAAGTAGCCATGAACATTAAATTTAAATTGCCGATCGCGATGCCGCCATTGACTGTTTATTATTTTATAAATACACATCTTCCTTGAATGAAGTTTAGTTTCCTTGTGCGTATTTATAAAAATAACGAGGCTTAATAAATTTTTTCAAAGTTGGACGGACTTCCGGAAATCAAAGCATTTCTTATGTTTCTTGTCACGGATATCTACTTAAACTTCCATCGAAAACAATTAAATTATATGACTGGTTTTATAAGAATTTGATTGCAATATGTTTATTTAGTAAGTTTATCGTAATAATTCTAGATAATTTCATGAATGTCTTCCCAAAGAGTGACTGACAAAATCTTTCAAGTAACTATGCAAATTTATAAGAAGCAATTAATTTAAATAGTTTTTAGAAGTCCTATAACGCTTTCATAGGAAGTCCATAAAAATAAAATCTCAGAGATATTTCCCACGATTTTCCCACCGAAAGTATTTCTACATGGATTTGAGTCAAATAGATCACCAATTAAAATAACAACATGAATCCAAAATCACAATTTGTAAGGGGTACTGGTTGATTTTTTTTTTTCGGATAAGGAGATTTTGCTTCTCAGCTTTCTTAAAAATCAAATCAAAGAATAATTTTGTCTCTGCTCTTTTAGGTGAGATTTGTGTGAACTTAGAGGATGAAGGAAAATCCATGTTTCCCCTTGAATTATGGCTCTTGTTTCCTTTGAGGTGTGATGACTCAGCTTAAGTATTTAATACAACATCCCATTCTGATCCAAATTAATTATGTAGCTTTTGCTACTTGAAGATAAAACGCTTTGTGTAATTATTCTCTTGCTAATGTTCGACGTCGTCAAGAGTAATATTCCCATTCAACCGGAATGTAACTTTCTGAAGATCACTGCTTAAGCAGTAGACAGTTTTAGTCGATAATTTTACTCGTATATATGATAATGGTTTAACCATTGAACTACTGTATCACGATGCAAATTGAAGCGTTTTACAACTATAGCCACATAGAATTCATCAGTATGAAATTCAGCTTTTCTGTATCATAATTTCATCTGTTCTTTCACTTTGTGGTTGCTGGCAGTCGTATATAACCTGCAGCGATCCTTATATAGACGACATCCGTTTACAAAGGGAAGATGAAAATTTGCTTTGTTTCATTTAAGTGTTCATTTAAGTGCTTTGTTTCATTCAAGTATTTGGAAAGCATTTCAAAGAGTATGTGATTATTTCTTCTTGCGCATCCACTACGTAAGCAATATTTGCCATACAGAGGCAGAAATAGTATTCAGAAATGCATGACGTTTCATTTCTAAGAACTCACTTGTAAATATAGATTTCAAATACAATTCAATTGAGAAAAATATATTCATTGCAGCTGGAAATATTGCCGTCACAAAACGCATTTTTATTTCACTTTCTTCTTAGGTTATTTGAAAACCATTTTGTATGGCACCAGATATTTTACATCATGTTTTTCATTACAGCGAATGCTAAAACGTTCGCTACAAATAAAGGAGCAAATTAAAAGCATAAACTAAGAAAAAACTTGAAACATTTTAATTTTGGTTTCTCACCCCTCCCCCTACACGGGAACAAAGGTTATCATTAAAACAAAAAATACGTTTCTCCCCTAGAGCACTGAATAATCGTTTAAGGAAAAATAATTATTTTCTTTAAAAAGCAATATTCTTGATTGTTCAAAATTTTGGGAATACTTTTACCCAAGAAATATTAGTTTTCTGGATATTCATTAGGAGAATCACAACGCAGCACAGTAACAAAGGTTTTCTGCAAGCAGATAATATACAGATTTGAGGAAGTTAAGGTTCTTATTTCGAACGCATTGGATTAAATTATTTAATATAAATACAACGCATAAGGACTCTACTTAACTGATCTACAGATGTTGATCAAGAGTAATTTGAAAGATGAAATTAAAGTGATTTATACCTCTCTATTCCTACACCAAGCTTCTGAGAGATTTTAAGTGGTAAAAATTATTATGGCTTCCAAGATTTCATTTTGCTTGCACAGAAAACTAGCTGTTACTAGGCATGCGTTACAATTCCTCTTGCTCATCTGCTTCAGATGAAGAGGAATAAGCAGTGTCTACTCGAATGTTTCCCAGTCTTGCTTAGTGTTGCTCGTCTGTTTCTTACGAACATGCTTGAGCAGTACGTACTCGAACGATTTTAAGTATCGCTTCTCGTATTTCGTTTATTTCTGAAGCTTATGATGTCGTTTTTTTTCGTGCTTGAGGTGCAGTCGAGCAACTGATTTTCCGTTTGGTGGCATAATTGATTTCACAGTAAAGTAATGCTTTACGATGAACGTTACAAATTCAGTTTTCACAGCCATTAGGTTATTTCGAAGCTGGGCACATGAAAGATGAGCATTGCCCTCGCCTGGACCTCTCGAGTACGTACCGAGTGTGCTACCATTACACTACGAAGGCATGCAGAAAGAAGGGTGAAAGTAATTTATAGTGTGACATGTTAAATGTGAAATTACTGTATGTCGCTATTCTTGTGCTTTTCATCTAGCGTTATATCTATCTATTTTATCTATGCGTATGATGTAATAACACTCATGTTAAAGCGTGAAAATTTAAATATTTTACCGTTTGCTGAACGACAGCACACTTTAAATATTGTGATTTGAGCAGCGGCAACACATTTCTGTTAAATATATCTTAAAAATTCCTTAATATATCGCCAAGTTTTCTAACTGAATTTGAAACATATATATCTTTGGAGAGTGACAAAACAAAGTTTTTAAATCGCTGAGTTTTTAGTCAAAATGTTGTTAAATTAGCGTATATATATATGAATATAAAGAATGCCGACTCCATAGTGGGTTGGGTTTTGAGAAATCGTATGCAAACAGTGACCTTCCTCTTCTTTTGAAGGTCGTGGGTGGCAAGTTTCATAAAGACTGGAATTAAATTATAGAT